AGACAGAGACAGAGAGATGCACACATTCAGAAAGCCTTTAAAACAAGTAAATAATTAGCTGGTGTGAGGGCACACACCTATAATCCAAGTACTGTGGGAGGCAGAAGTAGGAAGTTCTTGTGTGTGTGTGTGTGTGTGTGTGTGTGTGTGTGTGTGTGTGTGTGAGTTCGAGGCCAGCCTGGTCTACAGGGTGAGTTCTAAGACAGCCAGGGCTATGCAGAGAAATCCTGTCTCTCCCTGCAAAATAAATAAATAAATAAATAAATAAATAAATAAATAAATAAATAAATAACAAAATATTGAACCAGACAATTGTCTTCAAGGGCAAACTAACTACACTGGCCAGCAGGAAGAAAACAGCAACTTCCACAGTGATAACCCTGGACCTTCTTCATAGGGAGCCATCCATCCAAAACAACCAGATACGATTTGCTCCTAATGGAAAAACACACCACCTGTGAGGACATCTCACTATCATCCCTACCATCATCTCTACCACCATGGCCATCATCACCATCACCACCATGACTATCACTATAATCACCACACCATCACCATCACCACCACCATCATTATCATCATGACCATCATCACCATCACCACCATTACTATCACTATAATCACCACCACCATCACCATCACCACCACCACCACCACCACCATCATCATCATCATCATTCTCATCATCAATATCATGACCATACTGGAATATAATTAAGCTTCTGGACTCATCCAGCTCGGGGACAGAGGAACACGTTAGACAACATGACAGGACTGCACTCAGTATCCTGATTGCAGGAGACTCGAAAGGACAATGACCAGGTTTCTTCCATGGTGACTGACAGATGAAGGAAGAGGAGAGGAGAGGCCAGGGTGGGAGAGCTGGGGAAGGGGTGAGTGGGGAGGGAAGGGCTGAAAACAGGGGGCAGGGAGCTTAAAGGAAACCGCAGAGTTGTATCTGAACTTTGTGTGCAAACAAACCCACTTGAAAAAGACAGCAGCCGACCCAAGGACTTTCAACAGTGACTACCGGATCATATCAGAGAACTCCTTAATATATTCGGTGTGATAAGAGCACTGGGACTAGGTTTACAAAAGAGCCCTTAGTCTATAGAGCATTTCCTGATGAAATGGGGTCGGGGTTGCTTTAGAACCCAGGAAGAATTTGGGGAGAGTGGTACAGAGGACTATAGATAGACCCACCGAGGTGGGGTGTGATACTGCTCTCTCTAATGTTCTCCACGTCTGAAAAAAAAATGTATCATGAAAGGTTTCGGATATGTGGTCAGAAATGTCAACTGTGAGGCGCGAACCTGAACTGTGCGGCACAGCTCAGGTCTACGATCACGTAAGGAGAGCTGAGGGTTCAGTGGGGGGTGGGGGGTGGGGGTGGGGTGAGACGCCTGTCCTTAAGGAATAAATGCATTGGGGTGGCAGGGAAAGCTACTTTTACAACGCTTAGATACGAACCTTGGCTTTCTAGAATGCGCAAGATGTCTTTACCTCGCTGTCCATATAACAGTTTGGTGCATTCGTTCACGTGGCATGTGTTAAAAATAAGTACATATACACATATTAGGACCGTGTTCTTCTCGCTACGTTGCTGCAGAATGGGACGGAGGCTGGGAAGTTGGCTTAGTCTGTAAAGTCCTTGCCTCACAGGCTCAAAGAACTGAATTCAGTCTCAGGCTTTGGGAAGGTAGAGACGGAAGGGCCCTGGGGCTCTCTGAACAGCTAGCCTATCCTACTTGGTGAGTTCCAGGCCAGTGAGGGGCATTGCCTAAAAAAATGGTGACTAGTGCCTAGGGAACAACACCCAGGGTTGTCCTCTGGCCTACACACACACACAGACACACACACACACACACACACACACACCCCTGTAGCGTGTCACAAAGCTTGGGAAACACCCTTCTCAAGAACTCCCAAACAGCCACAGCAGAGTATCACTCCAAGCTCTACCCTTGCCAGCCTGAAGTCACAGTGCCTGGGCCACAAAGCAGGCAGATATTCATCATCCTCTGGTGTCCTCACAAAAGTGGCATCTTCCGGGAGCTGCTCACGTGGCCTTAGGGTCTGGGCATGGCTCCCCTGACAGAGCAGAAACACCAGGGTTCTACTGTGAGTCGCTTTGTAAGTACCATCAGCCAATGGTATTGGGATCTAATGCCCTTTACCTATCCAGCCAAGCAAAGCCAGTCAGGTGTTAGTCTCCTCCCACAGTGCCCCCAACACACCAGTTATCCATAGCAAAGGTCCTGTCCCAGCGGATGCCCACTCGTGGCATTCCCCATGGCAGCACTCATGAGGCACACCCTCACTCTGGCGGACTTGTCAGTCACAAAGGCAGGTTGTGGTCGGCCTGGAATGTCTAGACGCACAAGAAGAGCATTCCTAGGCTGCTCCTACCTGCCCAGCAGGTGTGTGGCTGCTTCTTCTACTGTTGAGTTCTTGGACGGCTCTGACACAGCGCTGACTGTGGAGAAACCAAGAGGGAGAGTGGAGTTGCATTTTATTCATTGTGGGCTCACGAGTAATGTCTCCCCCACACCGGGTGGGTATCGCCACCACATTGCAAGTTCCTAACCTTGTTCGATTTAGTTTATCTCAGGCAAGAGCACACTCAGTCTGGGAGAAAGGGCTCCTGGCTGTCTTGGTGCTGACGTCAGAGCAGAAGCTTCAGGGACTCTGCTTTGAGGAAGGCTGGGTGGCGTGGCAAGGCCATGACCACCCAGTGAAGGGACCCCCCAACTCCTGGGTTGTTGATCCTGAGAAGCAAACTTAAGGTCAGGCAGAGGTGGACACACCCCTCGGTTTCCATCCCCGCTGAAGTTTCCTTGCAGCTGCCAGGTCTGCTCCCATGGCTCAAGAGTAAGCGGCCAACACATACTTCAGGGCCTCAGAACATTCCAGAGTACTGGGCACAGCAGGCCTGATTGCTCAGGGCCAGAACACACACTGACCGCATCCTGACCTCAACATGGCTCCTTGAAGAGCACTTGGTCACATTTATTAGCCAAATCCTTCACAACTAAAAACTTTAAGGAGTCCAAGTGTTGTTTCTCTTCTTTCTCAAAACACATATTCCAGGGCCCAGCTCCAGGTGCTTCTGCCTCTGGGGATCCCCTTGCCTACATTTGACACTAGAAAGGGGGCAGAAAAGCCACCAGGCATGACCAGGAAGCACTCTGGGTCCAGAACACATGCAGTACCTGAGGATATGAGGGACACCGTCTTCCTGTGAGCCCTGCTACTGAGCCCTTCCATCAGGAGGATCCCATGTGGCTCAGTCCAACACCACAGAGTCTGAGCATATCCCACTGGGCCACAGACACAGACAAACCCCTGTGCAGCCTTCTCTCTCCCGCTACAAGAACAGGTCTTCCTCACCTCGCTGCCATGGCTGCATCCACCCCACCCCCACCCCTCACCTCACTGCCGCACAGCTACACCCTCCCACCTCCTTGCAAATGTTCAGGTTTGCTGAAGGGCCACTGCCTTTCCCACAGTGTGCTGCTTTCCACACTGGCCCTCCTTCCAGACCGGGGGGGGGCGGGCGGGGGGCTTTGAACAGCTCTGTGAGTTTATACGGCTCTGAATAAAAACCAGCATTGATTCCTATCACGGTCTGATAGTCAGCTTCAGAAACCATCACCACCTGCCAACATCTGCTTAGTTTCCACGGTGACACAAACGTCTTCAACAGTCCCAAGACCTCAGCCAGCTGTCCTGGGACAAACTGCATGGGAACCCACACCACCGCTCTGCACCAGACAGCCACCCTAGGAGTAACATCGCTGAGCAGGAGACAGGCAGATACCCCTTGCCAGCAGTGTTACCTAGGCAACTTGGAGGAGTTGGAAGGGGTCGGCATGAGCCTGTTACAAAATGCTGTACACTCCATAAACTCTACACATGGTGTGGGCATGTGTGTTTTCTAGAGGTGGGCCCTCCTCTCTTGCTCCAGATTCTATTTTTTTCATCAAAAGCCATGAAGCCACAAAAAGACACGAAGCAAAGCTGGGGTTGTACCTCACATGCCCAAGGCCCACAAGAAAAGAAAAAAAAAAAGGAGAAACTTGAACTCATGTCAGTATGTAAAAGAAGCCAGGCTCAAATGGCGCCAACCACATGATTCTCACTACGTGACATCCGGGAAACAGCCAAACAGAGACAGTGAAAGGTCAGCATGTGGTGGTGAGTGCTGTCACCTCGACAGAGTCTAGAACCACACGGGAGGTAGGAGATGGGCAGGTCTATGGGGGACTGTCTTGATTATGCTATTGAATTGGGAAGACTGGGGACAACAACCCCCGGCCGGGATCCTGGGCAGCACAAACAGAGAAAGGAAGCTGGGGGGCGGCAGCATTCATCACTGTTTCCTCATTGTGGATGCTTCAAGCTCCTGCTGCCTCAACTTCCTTGACGGGATGGACGGGATGGACGGGATGGACGGGATGGACGGGATGGACAGGATGGACGGGATGGACGGGATGGACAGGATGGACAGGATGGACAGGATGGACGGGATGGACTGTGTACCCTGAACTGTGAGCCAAAATAAATCCTTTCTCCCTCAAGTTTCCTTTTTCTCGGAGTATTTTTTACCATGTGAACAGGCAAAGAAACTATGCCACAGTGGTTATCAGGGTTAGGGAAGGAGAAAGGAGTAGGCAAAACGTGGATGAGAGTGAAATGCTGCAGTGGGTGTCACCACACCTTTGTCCAGACCACGGGATGTAAAACACTTAGAGTAGACCCAAAGCTACTGGACTCAGCTCCAAACCATTGTTGATCAAGGTTCATGAGTGGGGCAGATGCCCCACCTGGAACAAAGCTCAACAGGGCGATGAGCAGGGCACATGAGAATTCTCTTGCCTTCTTCCGAATCTTTCAATAAACCTAAATATACCCTTACAGGTCTACTGACTTAAAGAGAAGCCAGGAACAAAGTAAATGAACACAGAAAAAGATTAAATAAAAGCATTAGAGACAACATGTGGAGGTCAGAAGACAGCGATCATCTTTAATGAACAAAATCTCCAAGACTATAACTCTAGATGTCCATGGCCAGAGGAAACCCCTCAGGTATGAAATCAAGGGAGGGGATTCTCATACAAAAGAGCCCAAAGAGACTTCACTACCAGAGACTTTCCGAAGAAACACAAAAGGATGCTCCCAGGCCGAATGGAAATGACCCCGGAGTATCTGAGATCTTTAGGAATGAAGGAGGCAACGGGAGTCGTGGTATGCCCATGTCTCTGGGGTACTTTGACACTAGATGTAAAAGCTCTTTAAAACGTGCCTAACGGGTGAGACAGCACACCAGGCTAGTGAAGCTCTTGGGGTCTCGATGTTGTTGCCTTCTGATGTCGTGACAGGGTTATCTGCGAAATGATTTAACGGCCCAAGGTCTCGGAGATTTCCACCCATGGTCAACTGCCTCTGTAGCATCTAAGCCTGGGTGTGGGGAGACAGGACATCATGGTGAGGAGCAAGTGGTGGAGAGAGAGAGAGAGAGAGAGAGAGAGAGAGAGAGAGAGAGAGAGAGAGAGACCCCTCAAGGCAGACAGGAGAGAGAGTGAGTAGTGGACCCGGGACAAGGTAAAACCTTCCAGGGGACACCCCTAATGATCTACTTCCCGGCCCCTCTCAATGAAGCCGCCAAATTATAAATCCATGGATAGATCCACCCACTGGTCAGTTGAAGCTCTCACGATCCATTTACCTTCTAGCAGTCCATCAATGCCAAACAGCCCTTACCACAAGTGATTTTTGAAGACACTTCATATTCAAGGTACAACACATCATCCCTGTCCCCCAAAGGCTCGCGTTCACCCCACAGTGAAGAATGCATTTGGTCTGTCTCCTCGGCCTTGCCTGATGAGTTCTCTCTCCCAGGCTGGCTCTGCTTAACCACAAGTGACTTTTCCTCTATAGATAAACCATGTTCCCAGCACCGATAACTCCCCGGAGTTTCCACTGCAGCACAGACGTCATCCTTATTGCTCCAAGCATAAAACTCCCTCTCAGAGATCCCAACCCTCATGGGGACTCTGTACCACACACAGGTCCTCCAAGGCCTTCCTTTGAAGTTTAAGTGGAAGCTTCCCGTGATCCCACAACTCATTGTGTTCTAGTGTTTGTAAAACCAGCACTGGTGGCTAACACCAAGTTCTGCCATCCACAGGAGCAACAGCTAGGTCCCCTGGACTCATGACCCAATGGCTTCCCTACAACCCACCAGCTCGAAGCCAAGCCTTCAACATACGCCTTTGACAGAGGGGGTGAAGACACGCTGTTTCATATCTAGACTACAGCAGTTATACGCACACCAACTCTGACAGGTGTGTGTGTGTGTGTGTGTGTGTGTGTGTGTGTGTGTGTGTGTGTGTGTGTTTATATACTCATTTAAAGAGACACTAGCTGGCCACAAAGGTCAAGGCTGGTGCATTGCAATCTCTGAGAAACCACTGAAAGACTAAAGACAAAGGAGACTTAGGCAAAGGCCACTAGGGAACATGAGGAAATATTTAAACAAGGAACCAGGAAAAAAAAAAGTGAAGCAAACAGTCAAGTAGTGGACCTGAGTCCATTGGGCAGGAATTACATAAGGATGCAGTGGTCAAAACCAGGGTGACCAGAAGTTCGGAATGTTGGCGGAAGTTATTGTCAAAACACGCAAGGACTGACCGACGGTTGTGTATCAATACATAGGGAATAAGATACACAAGATCCCAGGTGGGCAGAGTCTGGCAGGAGGAGGCAGAGCAAGCAGCAGATCCCGTACCAGGCTAGTGGGGCACATATGGCGTCTGAGCCTGTGGCCCAGGATTAAGACTCAGGGCTGGACTTCAGATCCCAGGAAAACAGGAAGGTGCTACCTGAGAACAAATAGGTCAGCTGATCACACCACAGGGACCTTTGTAACACCCTTGAGGGCTCCCTCTCATTTTTTTGGTCAAGACTGGTACCCTAGAGTCCCACATCCCTCCATGCTGCCTTTCGGAGTCTGCTCAACTGGCCCTGGAGTTCCTGTGAGTAACTCCTGCTTTCTGAGTTATTTCCGGGACTTCTGGGAGCATTCCTCAGATAGGCACCTGTGGGAGATAACTCTTTCCAGGCTCCCAGCCAGCCACAGAAGGGAGAGAGTGGGAGGCTCCTGCTGGGGTCCTGTCTCTGTGTGCCTGAGCAGAAGCAACTACTCCAAGACCTCCTGGTGAGTGGGCTAGGTACGTGGAAAGGGTCTAGTTCACCTTTGGGCACTGCTCCAGCTAAAATTCTACCCTGAGAGGAACTTAAAGCAGCGGGCATGTACCTCACCTTCACCAGGGCCCCAGAGAAGGGGCAGGACAAACAGCACCTGAAGGCAGGGTGGGACCAGCTTGGGTGGACAAGCCTGTGTCTAGAAGATGGGGAGAGAGAGAGAGAGAGAGAGAGAGAGAGAGAGAGAGAGAGAGAGAGAGAGAGAGAGAGAGCTGCTTTTAGACACTCGCTAAGGCTAAGGATAGTGCCTACCAGAACACAGAGGCAACAACACACCCCTCAGGATCCCACTTTCTCCCTGCTCAGCATAGTGGCTGGACAGGTTGATGTATAGGGTCCTATAAACTAGCCAGGGGAATCCATGGGCAGGGGGTGAGCATGTCTGAAAGCACCATTAGGCTAGGAACAGATTGGCTAAGTCTCTAGGTCTTCACAGATTGTGGGCCCTCTTCTTATCCATTTGATCCCCCACAACACTCCCATCATCCCTGTCTCTGAGGCCCACATGTCCCCAGATCCAATCCCCACCAGGCAGGGGTGGTGGCCTAAGCCTCTTCTCAGGCCACGTCCCAGGCCAGCTCTGTTCTGAGTAGCACTTATCCAGCTCTGGTTTTGCCCATAGGAACAGCCAGGACATCCAGGGTAGGGGGGACCTTCTCGTGCCAAAGACGTCCCCCAAAACCCATAAATGTGAGCTTTTTTGGAAAAGGGACCTTTGCAGATGAGTGAGATTCTGTCGAGGCTTTTCATGTTGGAACACCCTGGATTCAAACATCTAAGGACAAGTTCTTAGAAGAAAAAGGCAGAGAGGGGCAAGGACTCTGGGAGGAGGGCTGAGACGAAGGATCCAGAACCTGGAGCCAGGTCACTGTGCAGCCTGATGTCCTTTGAAGAAGACCCTGGCAGTAGGAGGAGCCAGAAAGGACAGGGGGCAGCTTGCCTTCTGGGCGGGGGGGCTGTAGGACAAGATTTTCCCAGCCATTTGGGCCTGGCGTGAGGTTGGGACAGCCACACAGAAGCAGAGGTCACCGTCGTGGGACACAGCAAATCCTAGCAGCTCAGACCCTCAGGCCAAGGCCACACCATGCCCAACCAGTCCCCTGCAGGCTGCACCGATGGCCAGTGCTTGCCATCCATGTATCCGTTTGTGTACCTGTCCAACCACTTTCTCTCCCGGCGCTTGCCCTGTCCCTTTCTTGGCAGTGACCGCGCGGTCCTTAGCAGTGGGTCACCACTTTCCGGAATGTGTTTGTCCATCTAGGCTTCCTGCCCCATGCGGGGTTGTTTTGACTTGCATGGGGCTTTCCGCCTTTGCCCGGGTTATATAAGGAGTTTTATGTAACCACCAGACTAACAGAGCCGGGAGTGTATAATAGGAGAAGCCAGGGCTGGCCGCAGCCACGCTACCTTTCCAGGTGTTGTCTAAAGTCTCCAGTGCTTGGCTGGCTCGGTGTCCTGAAGACAGACCCCCCCCCCACTACCATGCTCCACCTCCCTGCCCTATGGCCATAGTTTTGGGAGCCAAAGATAAATAGTGGTTTGTCCAAGAAGCAGGTCCCCTCCCCGTCCTCTCTGAATGACAATGGCCTCAGGTGCCCAGAGACTCATGGGTAAAGGGACAGCTGACAGACAGCTGGAGCACAAACAGCACATAGTTGCTAGAGTAGATTCCTCCTCACCCCTGGGACAGACCTGGGTTGGGGTTCAAGATTATGTAGAGAAAGACCTCTGTCCCTGCCCCTGCCCCCCAAGGAAGGGAGTAGGGAAGGACGGAACCAGGTCCCCCATCAGCGCCTCAGACACACTTCGGGTTTGACCCACGTGGAGCTAGGAGAGAAGTTGGGCCGCTTCTCCAATTGCCATCCGTCGGAAGCTCCAAGGGACGTTAACAAGCAGCGTGTCTGACTTAGCCTGGAGGTGTCCACATGGATGTCCCCAGTGGTGAAAAACAAGGGTGCCCACAGTGCCTGCCCCCAGCTAGGGGACAGAGGCTCATGCCTGAGGCCCCGGGTCAGCTGCTGAAGAGGGGGAAACTCGGCAGGAGGTCGAGGGAGAGGACCATGCCCAGCTTCTCTGCAGAGCAACCCAAGAAAGGCACCGAAAGAATACCTGTGGCTCACAGTGCTCACACATGGGTCTCTGAGCATCAGCAGGAGAAGCCCAGGCCTCCAGCAGGCTCTGCTGAGCGCAGCAGCAATAGGCCTCTGGGCCGGAGGGCTGAACCTCAGCTTGGGCAAGGCTGCCAAGCGACCCCCAGGAAAAGCCTTAGCTTTTCATAGCCCCATAGTTTCACTGGCCTGTCTTATAAGGTCAGAACCATCGGCGAGTACGGCCTCAGGACCAGGCCAGCCAATTGTCCATGTCCCAGGCGGCCAGGCTCTGACGTGCTCCTCTGGGTTTGGAGTCAAGGCCCCGTGTTTGTTCCCTCTCACCAGGAAGCCAGGGCTTTCCTTCCTGAAGCTTGGGAGGCCGCGTTCCTTTTCACTCCCCAAAGAGGAAGCCTTCCCTGTCCTTCGGCCAGATCTGCCGAGCGCTGACTTCACGGCCTGAGATGAATGCACAGGAAGCGTCTTTACCTAAGGAGCCCAGGAGCTGATAAGAGGCTGGAGGAAGCCTCCACAGGCCCCACAGGCCCCACAGGAAGCACAGCCACGTCACCCTCTCCAGCAGGGAGGCCAGCCTCTGCCCAGCACTAGCCCACCTGACCTGGCATCTCCCCAGCCCCTAGCCCCTTAGAAGTCCCCCTTTTTGGCCTCCTCGGGCTCCTGAGCACACTTGTGAATTTACTTATTATTTATTTATTCTCACGAGGGTGAGAAGTCCCCAGAGACCAGAACCAGTGCCCTTCCCCCCACAAGTACACAGTTATGTGGCGTGATTCCTGAGGCCCTGACATGCACGCGGCCTTTGGTCCCAGGTTGGGCAGAATCCCAACCGTAATGGTAATGGTGTCAGGGACACTAGGAGCTGGTGGACGTGAGTTCAGCAGCAAGCAGAAGGACCAGGAGAAAGGGGACATAGGCCAGAACACAAAGTGAGAAGGTCACGGGGCATCCTGAGGACAAATGTCCCCGTAGGCTGTCACTGGGCTCAGAACGGCAGCCACTGAGGCTACGGTGATGCCATATGGAGTTAAGGGAGGCGGAGGGAACAGCGGTAGGTGTCCTTACCAGGGACTGAGCCACGTACACTTCCCACTTCTCCTTCTGAAAGGGGACTCCAAAGAGCTCACCATCGAGGCCACAGTGGGGACAGTTCTAAAGAGAAGCTGGTGGGGCAGGGGAGGGGACCAGCTCAGGAGGTAAAATGCACGTTGTGTAAGTGTGCGGACCAGAGCTCACAGCTCCAGAACCCATGGAAAAGCTGGGTGTATGTGGTGGCCACCTGCAAATCCTAGCACTCAGGAGGCAGAGAAGCGGGGGGGCGGGGGGGGGGAGCGGCAGGCAGGGCTACTCAGAGCAAGACAGCTGGCTACACAGCTGTCAGGTGAGCTCTGGGTCCAAACGAGCCTTCCTGCCTCCGTGCATAGGGTAGAGTAATGGAGGAAGATACCCACTGACATCAATTTTGGACTC